CAGCGACTCACCCTTCTTTTGCTGCATGCTTATCAACGAGAGATAGGACTTCTCCTGCACCCTCACACTCACAAATTGGTTAAGAAAGATCGAGCTAAAGCCGTCAAAATACCTAATCGACCCAGCTGGTAGCTGATGAAACTAGTCCTAGTCCGACCCTGTCAGAGTCGTCAAGAAAGCGCGACATTGCACTGGGTCACTGTAGCGATGAAGTACTGCCATATTTTCAAAACTCCTCAGATGCCGAGACGGGTCAGTTGAGCCATCGTACCATATGTTCAATTCCCTGAAGCCTTTGGGTAAGTCGGCTCTCAGGATCTGCAGCGAGAATGGGTGTTCCTTTGCTCCTCTGCTCTTCTTCCCTCCGACTCGAGCCTGTAAGTCGCAGACCTGAGCCAACAGTTGTTCCAACGTCTCGTCCCTCGCTTGCGGATTGATAGTTCGAATGGAGGATTCCTCCTCGTCCACCCTTCTATTCTACTGTGCGTTTGACTGGGCTTGTTGCTCGACACGAGGTTGTTGCTCGACCCGAGGCGGGTACTCGACACGAGGCTGCTGCTCGACCTGTGCCACCTGCTTCATCTGGGCGGCTACGGCTTCAGCGATCATCTTCTGCATTTCACTCCTCGTCACTGTCAAGGTCTGCTCCTCGACACGGGGTTGTGTCTGCTCCGGTATCTCTTGTATCTGCTTTCCCTCGCATCGAGACATCTCTGTTGGCTCCTTCTCTCCATCTGGGTTAGGGTTTTGACTTGTTCCTGCCTGGGTCAACACTTGCAGCTTCACCCCGGTTGGAGTGACGGGAGTTTCTCCGCCCAACGTCAGTCCTGGTTGTGGAGGTCCTCCAAATGGTGGCATCCCCATCATCTGCATCACTGGGTGTTTGGTGGTGGAGAGTGGTGGTGGCCTCTTGTCCATCCACGTTCCCCTGAACTCCTCGTTCAGATTCCTCTGCAAACCTTCCTTCTCCGCCATCAGCAAACAGATCGAAGCTGGGTGTGAAGCTCTTACTTCCTTCAAGAACTCCCCACAGACGGCGCCAATATGATGGGTCTACTTCTAGATCTGGAGTAAACCAGTGGATGTGAGCTCAGATCTGCTTGAACCGCCTACGAATCGTTGCTAGACCGCGAGATACCTGCAAAAACTCAACGCCGGAGGTGTTTCCGGCGTAGAGCCTCCGACGCTCAAGTCAGTATGAGAGTGATGAAGAGATACTGCGCAGCAGCTATGGGGGAGAGTGGGAATGAATGAGAGTTAGGGTTTGGGGTTACCTCACCTCCTTTATATAGGAATGAATACTTACTTGAAGTACCCAGAATACCCCAGTCGGTGGGCCTAAAAGGTCCAAAATGCCCCGGTCGGTTCGTCTCCCCTTGCTGCTGAGTCACCCCAAGGTTCCTTCTTATCCTTTGGAATATGTAGAGCTTTAAGTATGTTGCAACTGTGATGAATCGTCATCACATCTTTGATATTCGAGATGCAGAGTCGACCTCGACAGCTAGGAGGTCGACTTGTGATCATATGAGGATTCGGAGGCTACGCTTGGTTAGTTCCCTCGAGTGGAAGTCGTCTTCAGAGAATCGTCTTAGTGAAGTCGACTACTGGGAGTCGACTTAGAGTATCTGGATGCCCAGGAGCTATGCTCTTGTTGTTCTTCTTATACAGATGTCGACTAATGGAAGTCGACAGACTTAGGTCGACTTGTGAGAGTCGACCGGATAAATTTCTGTCCTTTCTTGGTCGCTCTTTATAGAGTCAACTTTATGGAAGTCGATTGGAGCATGTCGACAGAGTCATATCGACATGTGAGTGGTTCGAGCGATTCACCGGTCGAGTGAGGAGCCTCTGGACCGGGTTATTCTTATGTGGCTATATCAATTTCCTATTTCTGTTATGTTCTTTTCTAATATTTAAGAAATCATCATTAAAAATCATTACCAAAATCATTGGGCAACAACTTGACGCTAGGAGTGTCCATTATTTTGTTTCCTGTAGGCCCCTCCATTATAAAGTCTAGTGTAGTTATGTCATCTTCCAACATTGCCAATAATTAAGGAGATCATCCTTGATATATGATAGCATACTAGGTCGTGAACCGCCAAAAGAACGATCCTATTTGTGAACGTCTTAACCCATGGTTGCTCGTTGAACAAGCAAAACCTGTTTAGTATGATGCTATATGAATTTGTAGCAACAAATGTTAGTAGTGGTTCAAAGTTATAAATAAGGATATTTGGAATAATGTGTCGATTGTTTTGGAGTTCGACTTTTTCCTTTCGAGATTCTTTTATTCCCTCTAAAAAAGATCCTTTTACAATGACTCTTCGGCCTATTTATAATCTTGATACGATCGAGTATTGTGTGTGCGTGTAGAACAACTGTGTGTAGTATAGGTGTTATTCTATTTTTAAAAAGTACAACCTCAATAAATGACTAATGATTACAGTCTAAATCTCAACCCTGATTAATGGTCGGGGTAATGACACGTATGTCTGACAACACGTATGTTAGTGGTCTTGTCAGTCATTAACGCATGAGCAAATCGCATGGAGCTAGTCAAGTTGTTGTTCGGATCCCTCGGAACACCGTTGATGAGGTCTTCAGATTTTCCATTATTCGGCGAATTCTAGTTCGATCTTGCACTTTTTGTAGCATTGACTTCATCGTTGACTACTGACACGTGTAAGACTTGGATTGGACGTCAAGTTAAGATATCAACATATAGGCCTCCAAACCCGAGGAGCGTATATAGTTTCATGAGTCTAGATCGACTTGCACCATTGAAGCTATTAAACTAGATAAGCTTCTCGGGATCATACATCAAGTGGATTTTCCGAAGTGATGTGTGTTCTAGACAATCTGGACGTTGTCCCTTCATATTATTAACATAGTTAATGTTTGTTTATGAAAAAAACATGCTATTGAATGGGGTATCAGCTTTTCTCTTTAGTGGGACGCGTGTCGGGCCCTCATTGGTCAGGTTTCACGTGGAAACAGACGCGTCCTTTCGTTTTATTGTACCATTTATGTCCCTTCATATGTGGCGTCGATTCATTTGCCGACTCGGAACTTATAAATAGCGTGGGCTTTTAATTAGTTTTGTACTTTAATTAAAGTTTATCTTAAGAAATCATTTTTACTCGAGAGAAAACCAAACAATCGAGTAGTCTGGCAAATCTCACTCTGTCACCAGTTCGGTCTTTTTCTAGTAAGTCGTCATTTGATCTTATTTCATTACTTTTAACTATTACCAATTTCTTTGTCCATCGAATCAATCGACGAGGAACAAATGAATGAGGCCCTCAAAGGCAATACGAGGGGAAGAGTCTGATTACCCCTTGTACGAGAAACAACGCAAATCGACCTTGATGTCGAACAATCCGTCAGTTGCCCAGATGGTTACGACACTGGCCTCCTCGTCGATGGCCGACTCCTACAACATTTGGTTTACGGTCACTTGCCAGTCTGATGATGGATGGTGAGATCGTCACAAAACGAGGGTCGTGGTGTATTCCGAACAGTGTCAGGATGTTCACCCCTTATGCGCGGGGAAAGGATGCATTGCTCTCCACAGGGCTATGTGTCCGTGTGGAAAAAGACCTTGAAGTTCGGCCTTTGAATTCTGCTTCCTCGCATTCTACTCGAATACCTATGTGACTGGGGGCTCAGGCCCAGTTAGTTGTCCCCAGTCGCATGGATAAAAATCATCGGGCTACTTTTTCTGTTTCAAGACGAGGGTTGGCCATGCCTCACTTGTGACGAGATTAGGGTGCTCTTTTATTTCAAAAAATCCAGAAATCCAGTCGGTTTGTTTCTCTATTTCTATTCGGATAACCGAGTTCAAGACCCTGATAACAAAGGTTCCAGACCCTATTCACAATTTTATAGAGGACTGGTTTTGGGTTGGTGGTTACTGGCAAACCCCGAGATCAAATGATGATCTGGATGTTGTCGAGTTCTTCAACGTCCCGCTTAAATTTGTTGTTGAATTTTGTGAGTTTTCATTTTTTCTTTCGGATAGAGGACTGGTTTTGGGTCAGCGGTAACTGACAAACCCCGAGATCAGATGATGATGTGTATGCTGCCGAGTTCTTCAACGTCCTGCTTAAAATTGTTGCTGAATTTCGTTTCATTTATTCTTTTGGTATTCTGTTTCTAATTTTATGCTTTGTTTTCTCTTCTTGGCTAACATGTAGGCTTTTTCTGTTTCAGCAAAAAACATCGTGCCAGTTTTGAGTGACGTTCTTCTTGAACAGCTCCGTAGACTGCTCTTGAGATCGTCTTCCAACCGCAGCCCTGTCTTCTCCGAAGGGAGATAGAGACCTAAAAGAAAAGAGAAGAATTGTCTCTAGGATTTAAGAACAAGGAATGATGAAAGAACTGTAAGAGATTACCATCTTACTATAAGAAGCACTGGTTCAAGGAATAATCCTTGGATGTGGATCTCTGGAAGGATTAATCGTCGGATATCGAGCTGAAATTGAGTTGAATTAGAGCCATTCTCTCACTTAGTTACCAACTACGATGGTTACATCTTTTATGGGATCTGGTGGAAATCTGTGATGTATCTCTGGAAATCTTAGCGGATCTGGAAGGATTAATCGTTGGATAGCGAGTTGGAATTGAGTTGAATTAGAGCCATTCTCTCACTTAGTTACCAACTTTCATGGTTACATCTTTTATGGGATCGGGTGGAATTCTGTGATGTATCTCTGGAAATCTTAGCGGACCAACATTAGTGGAGAACGCTAGTCTTACTAGGGTCGGGTTGTGTTTGGACACAGTGCTCACTTTTTTTACTCCAGGTAACATTTTCGTTTTATTTTGGGTTTACAAGTTCTTGATTTACTCCTTTGTGATATAAGGTTGCTCGGTATTCTTTTTCACCGTTCTATCTGTTGTCCAGCTTCATAGACGACTCGTCTGCTGAAGTTGTTCGCCAAGCCAAACGTTCCGCTAAGAAGAAGAAGAGAGAAAAAAAATAAGAAAGAGTTGAAATGTCGTCCAGTGCCGAACTCATTGCTAAGCTTCAAGTTGCCGCCGATCAAAGGATCGATGAGCCTAGTCTGCAAATCTTGGAGACTTTTGCTACTGAACGGTCGGCCGTCCAATCTGACCGACAGAGAGACATATGTCTGCAGAAGAGAGCTTTGACTCTTTCTAGGGACAGGCCACATAAGAAGACTACTAGATCGATTGCCAAACAGAGAGAGGGCTCGAGTAGGAAGGCGATCGTCAAGTCCACGGAGGGGGAGTTAGGAAAGGAGAAGAATTCCCCTAAGTTGTGTTCTATTAGGAACGTCACAGATATGCACATTCGAACTTAACGAATTAAATCATAATGTAGTGGAATCTATAGTTAGGATTAGAACATTACCTTTTAAATTTTTTGTCGACTCTGAGACGTTGTATATTTCCTCTGTAGGAGATCGTTTGAACCGCAGAATCCGTTGGACAGTTGGACTTGGCCTCCTTGGTCGAACTCGGGTCGTCGGAGAACTAGGTGCACGTCAGGTGCGGACCGGATGCGAATCGGGTGCTGTGGGTCGAAGTCGCATGGCTGCGCGTCGTGCGCTGGTCGCTAGCCTCGTGCTGGTTTGCAAGTTCAGGTGCGTGCAGGCTCACGGACAGAGACGCGCGTCGGGTGCTGGCAGTTTCGGCTAAGGCGTCTGGTAGCGTCTGGCGCAGTGTCATTTCGCTTGCGGTGCTCGTGAGCTATCTTGTGCGTCCAACGCGGGCGGCTAGCATGCACTGCGGGATTCATTCGCCTGTCAGGACTAGGCGCACGATAAACTCGGACAGAGGACATGCGCGGCAAGGGAAGCAGACATGCGAGGACTTCGGGCGGCAGCGTGTGGACAGACAAGGCGTCGCTCGGACTCGCGACTGCGACTGGGCAGCGTGCGGTGGCGCTAGGAGCTCGCGTCACTGCGTGCGGCTGGGCGCGGCTGTGGGCGATTTCCGGCGGCAACTTGCGGCTGAGGGGGGTGGTTGGGTAGCCGGAAAATATATGTAAAAGGCTCGATAAATATTGTACCCTAAAGCCTTCTAATGTATGACCTTATACTTCTACGTCGAATAATCTTGGTGGTGCGATTAATCAAAATTCCCAAACTCTCAATATATGAAGAACACAATTTTCCTCTTCCTTTTGGAACCTTAAAATCGGCCAAAACATATGTAGGAGAAGGGTTTGGAACATGGTGTATTTATAGGCTACATTAGAGACCTTAAGGAGGTGCTAAACATGGACTTATTCAACTAGTGTTAGGAATCCTATTTATTCTTCAATTACCTTCCATTCTACAAGACCTAATGCCTCCTCTCCATAATTACCCCTTCTAGAAGATTCTTTAGTCTTGTAAGCTTTGGTAATATTCCAGAAGGAATATTTCTCTTCTTAGGGAACTAATTAATTAGAGAATAAATAATTCTCATCTCCTAATTAAATTAAATGATAAAACATACCACTAGAGTGATATTATTGCTCTCCCCATTTAGCTCCAATTTATTCAATAAATTCGAACCTCCACTTAATTAATTAATATTAATTTGATTGATCGATTTATCATCTATATGTTTAAGATATAATGTCCGTCGATTAATTAAATTACTGACAATAAAATTAAATCGACTTCTTTATTATTCTGAAATTAGTACCACTCAGTTCTTTAATCATTATGTCGGTAATTCATCCGCCTGCAGGGCTTGACATAATATTCCTTCCTAAGCTCATTTCGGGGACGTCATCAACCCAGCGCACTGGGACATAGTAACCGTAAATAATTTATAACAACACATCATATAAACATCATCATTTACCAAAACACCGAGTATGTCATCCTAATAAAATAGGAATCAACCTTGGTAAATCAAATAAACAAGTAATGAATATATATATATATATATATATATATATACCCGTTTTATATTATCTTACAGCTTAAGAGTATGCATCAATTACTGAAGGTCTACATTATTTCAACGATCAGTAAATCAAATAATCTTATCCTTTCGCGGTCCGTTCAATACTTATCATAAGTACTAGTGTAACTCATCAGTCAAAGATCAACTTATTCAAAACTACACTATGACATTTTTGCAACAGGGGTTTCAATGTCTGTCTAGACTGTGAACAATAAATTCATCTTACAAGGAACCAATAGTATGATCTTTTTGTTCGACACAACGAACCATACTATCTACAATATAAGATAAAATAATTATGATTGAATAAATAAATAAACTTGCAAACATAAGTACTTTGACTAAAACAAGAGGGTCTAATCAAAATGGAATTGCTAGAATCTGAAAGCCAAATTTTTACAGTATACCCAACACCCCGTCCATCAAGAAGGCTCAGCTACCTACCTTCGGGTTGACTCAATTTGTCAGGCTCGACATAAGCACCTCGATGGCTTGGCTGACGATTGGTTCTTCAGGTACAAATTTGTTTCTAGCCCCCATGTTCTGAACTCCAAATTCTTGCCGAACCATGTGATGGAGGCGACAATGACTCCTCTGATTACCTGGGATCTTCCTACCAAGCAGGTGACGCAGGAGCTCAATGCCGTGGAGAAAATGGAGTATACAATAGGTGCTTTAGGTCGGGCTCTTTGTAGCCAAGCAGCCTCTATGAACAACATTCGACGCATGACATCGGGGTTTGCAAAATTGAAGGTCAAGCACGAGCTATGTGAGGGGAAGATCAATTCCCTACAAGAAGAGCATAGCGCCTTCCAAGGCTTAAAGTTGAAGGCCACTGAGATGGAAGGGGAGATCGGGGTTCTGAAGAGAAAGGAAATCGAATATAGATTTAGGATAGTGGGATTGAATTAAAATTGAGTTAAATTTTGAATTAATCTAAGATTAACTAGTACAACACTCATGTATTTATACGGGTGCTTGTAAAAAATTATTCTTAAATTTTAAAATTAATGAGAAAAATTATTTTAAATTTTATTTACTTGTTTACAAAAGATATATATTATCATATATTTTAAAAAGACACTTGTTACTTGTGCGACTTACATGTGTTATATTATAGTACTTATATCATATAACTACTTGAAATATAAATATATTAAATGATAAATTAATTTATTTTTTAATTAATATTAAAAAATAATTTTATTATTGTTATAACGATAAATATGATTTATTTTTTTTATACATAAAATATGGATGTTAAATCAAAGCTCATCAAGAGATGATTAATTTGATATATTATATATGTAAAACTGATAAAGAATACAAAATTTATTAACTTTTAAAATACATTTACAATTCAATAGTTATAATAAGAAATGATATTAAAATGCAATTAATACATGTAACATGACCATAAATAATCAACATATTTATGGAAAATCGGAACCTAATTATTTTTGGATTGGAAGTAAATTAAAATCTATCCAAGTCTAATAACGAAACATGTAATTTTGCAACATAGGATCCCGAAGTATGCGAGCCTGCAACTTAGGCTCAGTATGTTTTGAATTAATATATAGGGGGAATTATGAATTGAGTTATTTTATATACAAACACACCCTTAGTGGCCCAAATATTGTTGAGAAATTGGAAGAAGGCCAAAAGAAAAGCACAATCGATCATGGCGACTGAAGTGGATGATGAAGAGCTTGATGAATTAGCACTGCTACTGGATCCCCGGAACTGACAGCGACGACAACGAGTAGAACATTGAACGCATCATGTCATCTCATCAACGTAAGTAGGGCTGTAAATGAGCGTGCTAAAGCTTGGCTCATTAAACATATATAACAAGCCGAGTTCGAACCGATCTCGAGCTTTAACGAGCGAATTATAGAAAATTATACAAAAATTCTCTTTTCAAGCTTTATTGAGCCGAGTCGAGCCAGACTCGTTTAACTGAACAGCACTAAAAAATAAAGAAAGCGAACTAAAAAGATTTGATTTCAATATAAGGAATATGTAAACAACTTAATTGACATATTATAAATTTTTTTTTTTGGGAACATATTATAATTTAAAATATTATTTTCTTAATTAAAAATATTTCAACATATAATATTTCAAATCCATTTCTTTTATCACCCACAATGCTATTTAAAAATAAAAAATAAAAATTCCAGTTACAGCTCGCTAGGAACTGCCTGGTCGATTCTGAACTAGGACCGTCGGTTTAATGAACTGGCCCGGTGCTAATCCCGAACCGGTTCCGGTGCAACCAAGAATTGAATCGTGAACCGGCAGTTCAGGCCCGTAACCGGCTTTTGACCATGATGAGGACTCATTTACTTATAGTAAAAAAAACATTTCCACATCTATCAAAATCAGACGTTCACCCACACGCTTCAGTAGAACTGAAACTATACAAAGAGAATAACGTTCCTTGGCGGAACTACACTCTACACAGCAGTGTATCAACAAAGACAAAACCCACAAATAAACAAACCTAGCAGAGTTGCAATTTCACCAACCAAAGACATGTTACTCCACACACGGTCATCCCACGGGGAAAATAATCGAAACCCACATCTCTTGAGCAATGCAAGAATCAATCAAACAAACCAACAATAGAAAAAAAATAAAACAGGGGAAAAAAAAAAAGATTCACGTGATGATCTCCCTCACGAGCCAATCCAAACTCGGATACGCAAAGTACAGAATTAAGAACGACGGCATAGCAAAAACAACAGTGATGAGCACGTACAGCGCCAGGATAGCTGCGCTCGCAGGTATGGCGTAAAGAATGATGAGCAGAAAGATTATGACGAGCGGGAACTTGGCAGTTAGGTGCACAAAGAAAACGAGCGACTTCCTCAGGGACAAGTGCAGCCTCTCAAGAGAGAAATAATAATTATTATTATTGTAATTATCATCAATAGAGTGAGAGTGATGACTAACAGAATCCGCCAAGTGCTCTGAATGGCGACTGTTGCTCACTTTCACGTGGCTGATGTGGTGGTCCCCACAGACGCCAGACGAGCAGGATTTCACGCGGTCACCGTTCATGCTCTCGAGCATCCACAGAAGGAAGAAGTTCTTGCGGGGGAATTTCAAATTCCCACGGTAGACTAGGCGGAGGGAAAGGAGGTTGCACCAGGGGCAGGATATGAAGAGAGGGAGCTGCAGGGGTAAAGTCGGGAATTTGACGACGGCCCACTGAAGGCCCATGATGCAGTTCTTGCAGAGGGTGTGTCCACACCACAGGACGTAGGGTATGTTCTCGACGAGGTTGAACGACTCCCAGCAGATGGGGCACTCGAGACCCTCCTCGTCCCTGCTGGCGACTGAGGAAGCCTCGTCATCCGAGCAGTCGGTCGAGTACTGATGAGCTGTGGGCTTGCGTAAGTCGTGCTTTCGGCCTATCGTCCCAGCTATGTAGCTCGACGCACGATTCCACATCTTGGGATACAATTTTTCGGGTTCACATTGGGTCTTCAGTTGCCTGCGAGATATATATACATTTAGAAAAAAAAAGGGAGGTAAATGGGGTGTATATTGTTTTGAGATACGTAGTTAGTCATATACAATCAATTTCAAGATGAGCATATAAGTTTGACGAAAGATTCCATATGTTTGTCACAAAGGATGGTGAATAATGAGTTGGAAGAAGTAAAAAACGGGCAAATAAACCATCTATGGTGGCCTTTTAGGTTGACATGTTCGTCAACATGAAGATGCAGTGCTCAGCATCTAGGACTAGCAGCCAATTTTCTCCATGTTAAAATTGTCACAAAGGCCATATTTTATGAATCGAGTCAAGCTAGTATAATTTTAAGGGAATAAATAGGCTTGAGACAGGAGTCCTTACTCAGATGACAATGATGCGTAAAATTCCAGCAATTTACCAATTACTTGCATACACTGTTTGAGTACTAGAAGAGTAGAAGAGTACTACATTCACTGGTTGGTAATTCTATTCCCCTAAAAGATAATAACAGACTACGTGCATACAATTTTCGAAAGGATACCAATATGAGGATTAATTTTTCTGATGTTCTTCTATTCTTTACTTTTCATCTGGAGCGTTGAACAATGTAAGAACTACAAATCTGTCAATACGAGAAATCAAGTCAACTCCTTAATGCTCACAAGAACATTTAGATCCACTCTGGATCAGCACAAGCAAATGGTTCTACACAATAAATAAATAATGCGTTCAAAAAAAGCTGAAGCTGCTGGAAAATAGGTTTTCACAGCCTTTATGTTTCCTTTTTATTTTGCTCCTTGGCAAAAAATACCAAAAGCCGCAAACTAATTCAACGAGCTAAGATTGATCAGTAACTTTCGAGCAGCAACCACCATCGTAACTCCAATTACATACCTGATCCCATGAAATAAACACCAATCCCTGTATAGCAACTAAACAAAATCTTAATCCTCACCGAATCATTATCAGAAAATCCAATAAAAAAACCGATCTCGAATAATGAAACCCAAAGATAAAAGGAGTATTAACAATTTGCGCTAAAGCTCAAACACTGCATAAGATTAAATCGGAAAGTATAAGAACAAATAAAATTAGATGAACTCAAACGAGAATAAACATAATCAGATTGAAATTCCTGAAGGCAGCGTAAAAAGGATGAGTAGATCGATATACCGAATGTGGAGACGAGATGGAGAGAAAATGGCGACAAAAGACACAGTTTTCTGTCTCCTCCGTCGACGCTGTAATTGGGGCTCCGAGATAGAAGGCTAACACTTCAACTAACGTCAACGGCTTTTACGTCTCGGATTTTTCATTCGGGTCGCGGGCCAAATACCATTTTTTCATGGCTGTCATTGTTTATCTACTCTCGTGCCGTGCGCAGCAAAAAATTCTTAAAAACATACACACATAAAATAAAATTTTTATTTGATCCTTAAATATTATTAGTAGTAGATATTGGTATCTATATTTTTGTTCATAATTATTATTTTATACATGGATATAGCAAATCATAATTTTTATCTCATTGTTACTAATAGGTTGTTCTTATTTAGTACATAATGAGTAAATATTTTAACAGCGCACCATGTCATGCAGCAATTACTATTCAAATTGATCAATTATTGATTCATTCAGATTGAACCTCACCGTGATGAATTAAAATAATAAATATTATACAGATGTGCATGTTTATACCTTGCGTGTTAAGAGTACGCAGTAATTAGCCAAGATCTAGTTCATTCACGCTGATTAGTATAAAACAAACTGCTCCTCTCCGGGATCCGTTCAATATACAATTTGTACTAGTATAACTAATCAATCAAGACCAACGGTGTCGTTCATATTTGTCCCATTTTTGTTGCTATTTTTGTTGGTGTTTTGTTTTTCTTTTCCCCCATTTTAGGTTGGTTTGTAGGATTTTCCAGTCCTCCTAGTCGTTTCTCGTGTTTTATTGTTATTTTGGTGTGTTTTTCGTTGTTTTATTCTTTCTATTTTTTCTTGTTTTTCGTGTTTTTCCAGTTTTGGTGGTTTCGGGTTTTAGGTTCATCCGATTGTCGAGCATTCAAACGAGGGAAGTAGTACTCCTTTTTCAGTTCCTGAGAGATCCGTACTGGTTTGTGTGACCCAGGACGCAAAGGAATCAAGTTCCCAGCTCGAGTAGAACCCGAGAGATGCTAGCCGAGAGCTCACGAGTCAACCGAAGGTCATTAGCCGCTCCGAAACAACAAAATATTGAAGTTCCAGGCCTTAGTGCCGCTAAGGGAACTCAGCTAGTGGCGCTAGCATGTCTAGCAGGCGATAGAGGATTCAGCGATTTGGACCCTAGCACCGCTAGGGTCTGTTTTTCAGCAGTTGCGTTTTTCTTGGAATTTCGAATTGGGGATCAAATAGGTCGAACTTAGGGCCATTTTTCACATTCCCAGACTTGTATTTTCGACTTTTCTCTTTAGAAAACATCATTCTCTTTTTGGTTTCACTTAGATTCAATCTTGGAGAGTAAAAACTCCAAAATTCATCATTTGGGATTTGGATTGCTCATTATTTTTCGACATTGGATTTGATATTAATCGTAAGCACTTCTTTTCGTTTTTGTGTATGAATATGATGGCTTGGTTAATTGTGAATTGTTATGTTGAAATTGCAATGAGTGGCTAAATCCATTAGCTAGGGATATGGGATGATTGTTTCGGTTCGTTTTCGATTACGTGTTCGTTAATTGTTCAATCTATGCGAGTTTTGTTAATTCTAGGGTTAGTTGATTGATCACCATTCTAACCTAGTTAATTGACTTTTAGAACCGAAAGAGGAGAAGTCGGTCGATTTAGGCTCGTCTAAAATACGCTTGTTCGTAAATGTATTGCCTGTTGGTTTATATACTGAAAGCTTGACTTTAGATGTATTTACACTGAACCTGTTTGAATGAGAATCATGTTTAATTAAACAGTCTATGTTCTGTTGTTTTGCATTTAGATAAGATGGGTCGTCATCGGGCGAACATAAGATCATTTTATCAGTCACTTACAAAACAAAAATAGTTGGTTCACAACCTAGATGGAAATGAATAACCCATCGTGAACGATTGTTGCGTACAGTTGGTCTTGACTGATTACTTACACTACTACACTTTGTGTATTGAACGGATCCCAGAGAGGAGAAGTTCTTTTTATACTGATCGTCGTAAACGAACTAGGCCTCGGCTAATTACTGCGTACTCTTAACCTGTAAGATATAAACAGACATGTGCATGCAGTAGATAT